AGTGGTCAAAGAATTGAGCCATCACAAAACACAGTATTAAAAACATGTTTTATCTCAAAACAACCCACTCTGTAGCAATTATTTCAATATTTATGTTGAGAATCAATTTCAAGAAAACGTCTTTTACATTGCTGTAACTTTAAGCTTATTTTATGCTCTTACAAATGCTTTGTTTTATGTATTAGCCTAAACCTAAGCATTCTCTATCAAACTTTATGTTTAGAACATTACAACTATTTTAGAGGCTTAAGTAATATCAAAATAATTATGATCAAAATAATTTAAATCAAAACTAGGGGTACATAAAAGTTATTTGTGTGGAAACAATGTTCTAGGATATTTCCATTACATTTCTGAATGCATCATATAGCATTCTTTTCAAATATTTAGCCAATATTTTAAATTGGTTTGCTATGTATCATCTGTCAAATTTTCTATGTGGCAGGGAAAGTCTGGGAAGTATTAAAAACTCATCATGGATAATCACGAGTTTACTGTGTCCAATATCACTGCAGATAAATAACAGCTTTATTGGCAAATGGTAGTATAGCAAAGCGAGGTCAGGAATTTTTCCTCCCCTATCTCTATTATCTTCTGTGAAAAATTTTATACACAGCATACACATTATACAAGGCATGGTTTCAACTATCTCCTAACAGATTTCAGGTCTTTATCTACAGTCCCATTTGCTTACTTGAGCTCCAGCTACACATTCCTATTGTTCTAGTAGACATTTCTTCCTGAATGTTCAAGGTATTTCAAACTCAAAGCTTTGATGCCATCTTCTGCTTCTTTCTTTTCATCACTGTTACATCAGTGGTCAGCAAGCCCTTACAATCCTCTCCTTTTCCCAATCTCAGCTTAAGCTTGCGCTATCTCTCAGCTGACAACTGCAATAACTGCCTACATTTCCTGCCATTGGTGACCTTCCACCCAATCTAGTTAAAAATAGAACATACTTGATGTTGCAGAGAGTTCTCAGTTGACTTGTGTCTGTCTATAGAACTGGCCTAGTTCGGTTTACTGAGATTTCTGCCTTACAAGGTTATACACTTATTGAAAATAAGAAGAGCTCTGAGCCATTCATCTTTGTGTCTTGGTGTTTAGAAGTTTCTAGCACCTGCTTATTATTGTTGTCAGGGCTCTAGCAATTGGCTAGGTATATTGGCTTTGGAATCTAAAGCTGTAAGTTGAATTTCTGCCTCTTCTGTCACTTATTTAGTTGCCAAATTAAGGCAAGGCCAGTGATTCTCAAGGCTATATTAGCTCTACATTAGGATTGACAAAGAACTTAGGAAAAAGAATCCCAGTCCTCTCTTTAGCCTAGTTAAATGAAAATATACAGTGGGTGGGTCTCAGGCACTGGAAGAATGTCATACATAGTATAAACCTTGTATTAATAGATCTATAGATGATTCTAATATACAGCCAGGGTTTAGAATCAGCAAAGTTAGCCTTAATTTCTCAACTACCATTTAGTCTCTATATCAAAGGGATTCTGAACACATGAAATGAGAGTGAATTTAGCATACTGTCTGGCAAATACCTAGTCAATCATGATGTTATTATACAACCTCCGTTTGTAACCTTCTTCCTTTTGAATTGTTAACCTATACCCTTCGCCCTAAGGCACTCTGCCGTCCTTTGAATTCCTAGAAGGCACCAAGAGTTTCCAGCTTTTGTGCTTTCACACTTGTTCTTTATCCTGTCCTTAGCAGATTCCTCTCAATTTTCAAGTCACATGTGAAATCACGTGTGAAGTCTCTAGGTATCCCCCTTTATTCATCACTGCAGTATAGAGATGTTCTCTCTTCATAGTACTTGTGTCAATTTGTAATTATATATTACCATTTACTGTGTTTCCCTCACTAGACTGTAAGCCTTACAAGAGAAGCCTTGGTCTGTTTTGCTTTCCTCGTAAGTCTAGTGCCTGGTGTCTGGTGCCTGCTTGGTGCTCAGGGTACAGTTGGTGAGGGATGAATGGATTGATCAATATCTATCCTATAATCTCAAAGAGGCAAAATTCCTTTTTTGAGTACCTTAACTATATGTATCTGTCTTGGTCTGTTTTGTATTGCTATACTTAAGTACCTGAGGCTGAGTACTTTTTTTTAACAAAGAAATGTCTTATTCAACTCAGTTTCGGAGGCTGAAAGTCTGCTATAAGGTGGGCCCACTACTTCAGCCTCAGATCAGAGCCTTTGCCTACATCACAACATGATCCGTAGTATCCTGGTGGAAGCATGTATGCGAGAGAGAGCTCACATGATGAGTAAGGAAGCAAGCAGCCAGGCCCAGCTTGCTTTCTTTTTTTCCTCATAACAACCTGCCCTACTGAGAACTAATCTACTCCTACCAGACCCCAAACAGCACTGACCCGTTCATGAGGGTGGAGCCCCCATGATTTAATTACTTTCCGTTAGGCTCCACCACAACATTACCATACTGGGGCCACAACACGAACCAGTAGTATCCCACATCAAAACACCATAAAACAAGAAAAACAAAAAAAGTAGGATAGTTTCTAGTACTTCGGATTCTAGATATTGAGTAGGAAAATTGCCATTCTTTTTATTTTTGTAATTTTTGGATATTTTTAATTTGGTAAGTTTTCCCAGTTCAAAGTTCTTAGAAACTTCCTGTAAAGCTTAGTTGGTCATCAACCTTTAGGCAGTAATTTGGAAGTGTTATTCTCATGGTACCTCACTTCAACAAGGCAAACAAACTTTTGTTGATGTTTGTATTAGCTAACTAAAGAATTTTTTTTTGCTTCCTAACTTACCTTTTGGTTTGGTTGGGAGGACCAAACAATGTATAAGGCTAATGAAAAAAGCCACAGAATTGTCAAATCACTGATAGTTCTATCAGTAAAAAGACCTTAGAAGTCATCTGAACCAATAGTTAATTTATAGATAAGAAGATAAAAGCCTGGAAAAATGAATTTATTGGACATATACTGTCACAGTACCAAATACAATTCAGGTTTCAAGAATTGTTCACCAGTGACCCACTGACCATATTACTCCAACTTCAAAGTTATCCAAAGTTATTATGATTTTTCAAAGTTCTTAATTTATATTCCTAATGTATGATTTAGAATTTTAATGTTTCCATAACTGAAATTTAATCCAAATTTGTGAGCTTGACATTCGGTCTAATATGTCTCACCATATATCTTTCCACATGCCAGGCTCTATAATTCATTTTCTGTTTCTGCAACTTTTATTTTCCACCAGAATTCATAGTGTCACCATATCTGTCTTCAGTGCCCACATCTTCCATGAAAACTATACTCACACCTAAAAAGACAATGGCTCTACATTTCTCTGTATTCCTTGTATTGCAGTGGGGATGCATTGGATGTTAAGACTCAGGAACTGGTGCCACATGGTTCTTGGCTTTCAGGTCTTGTCCCTCTTCGTAACTAATAAATATTAAACTAAATGCCTCTGTCAGTTAAACATTTTCCATTAGGATTTCCTTGAAGACAGTTTTGAAGTGTTTGAAAAACCTGGGTTGGAGCAGGTATGAGATGGATATGTAAGATCTTTTTTGGATTAAACAGAGCCAGGAAAAAGCTAGGAAAGCACAGTGCTATAGGGCTTGCCTAGCATGTACAAGGCTCTGGGTTTGATCTCCATCCCCATAAAGTTACAGTCTCATTTCTGGATGCTTTTCTTTTTTCATTTAAAAACATTTCCCACATATTCAGTATAATTAGCCCAGATCTTCACTTTTTGCTAGTGTCAAAACCTACAAGAAAGTGTGAAGCCCTGCATTCAAACTCCAGTCCCACCAAAATAAACAAACAACCTTCAAAAATTAAATTTAAAGGCTAGAAGAAACAAGAATGGTCACATAAATATTCAGAGACCTTTGTTGCAAATTTAGTTTCCCTCACTTTTCAGAAATAAGTGTGCTAATAAAAAGATCAGAAACATTAAAAATCCATTTCATCCTTTACTAATTCTAAAAAAAAAGGAGTTTAATCAATTGATTCTCCTTTGCAAAACTTTTACACAATTATTTCAGGCTCATATTTCATCTAAAACTTCCCTTAAGACCGCTGTAATCTGACCACATCCATGATATGTTTTGGGTTAAGTCACCAAAAAGGTTATATATGGAATAGGCCAGTAATGTGATACAATCAAGATTTTGGTTTTGCCTTTTAAAGAAATCCTTTTTAATTAAATGATTGCTTTCTGGCATTTATATATGGCTTGCTTATGCACTGACTGCATCATTTTTATTCAAAAACAAAAGTTCATCTGCACAATCTCCAAAGATTTGTTCCTGTTCTAAAGATTGGTTCACGTTCTAAAAGTATGGTTTTACTTTCAACGGAAATAATACTGACAAAAGAGGGGTTATAAGGCTTTGTCTTCTCTCCACTTTGCTGTAAACCTCTAAAATCCTTCCTATGAAATCAGCTGCCTTTCAAACCGCGTTACCTGGTCGTTCTCGGGGAACGCTAAATGGAAAGTGGAATGGTGATGAGCAAGAAACATCAACTATGCTCTTCTCCTGTAAGTTGTGACTTGCTAGGGAAGGATAAAGGACAGAGATCAAAGCTCGGTAAAAGTTCAAAGATATTGAGGGCCAGCATCCTCAGCAGGAAGAACCTGGCCGCCCGCTCCCCAAAGCCTGCAACCTTCCGCAGAGATGCGGGACACGCTGAGGGCGGCGGCTCGCTGGCCGAGGGTGCGTGTGTCAGTGCACGATTCCCTTACTCCGCCCACAGGCACGGGTCGGGGCACTCCCCACAACCCACGACTGCCTGGTCAGCAAACAGTAGATCCAGCAGCTTCCCATCACCTACCCGGTCACGCCTCCCTCCAGTCCCAAGTTTCTCCAAACCGGAAGCACTGTTGCCCCGGCTCACTGGTAAACTAGCTTAGTGCCAGCGGGAACCGGAAGCTACTCTGCCCCGAACGCGGGCCCGCGGCGCGTCAGCTGCGCAGGCGCAGTGGAACGCGGTAGATGTTGTGGGAGGGGAGGAGGAAGAGGCGGAGGGGGACGGTGGGCCGGCCCCAGAAGATGGCGGAGGCGGGGGTGAGTTGGGGTCTCCCAACGGAGTGCAGGTGATGTGATGTTGAGGCCAGCGTCCCGAAGAAGGGGTAGCCCTCGGGGGGATGAACTACTTGTGGTTTTTTGCAGCCTGGGAATCCTGGTAGCAGGTGTGGGGACCCAGGACTGCCGATGGGGCCTGCAGGGCGAGGGGCTGCGCTTACCTGGGGAGGTTGGAGAGGTCTAGAAGGGGCCATGGGGTTCTGAGGGAGGTCGTAGGGGAGGCCGAGGCTTCCGGGACAGAGAAAGAATGGAGTGGGAAAAAGGCTGGAGGACGGCGGGAAGCACGACCCTGGAGGTCCGATGGAGGTGGAGGTCGGCGAGCTGTCAAGCACAGAGCTGTCAGGATTTGGGTGACTTGTGGCCAGAGAGAAAGACTCAGGTTTGGGAGAGGATGTATCAAAATTAGGTAGGGATCATAGTAAACTTAGGAGCCACCAAAATGATATGACATTGGGTTGAGGTGTAGGACTTTAGCATTTTGGATTGTAAGTGGATACCTTTGGAGTAGGTCTGTGAACAGCCAAAGAACTCTTACTAGGTGTAGACGTCGGTTAGTTATAGTTACTGGAATTTTAGGGTCGCTCAGTAGGGATTGGCAATCTGGAAAAGGGAAGCATGCCGGCGATGAGTCAACACCGATCGGGCAGGGAGGCGTGCTAAAACTTAAATGATAACGACTCCTGACCAGTTAATGTTGGAAAAAGTTGTTAAAGGATGGCGTTAGCTAGATAGTCTAAGAAAATACACCGCGGAGAGCTTGCTGTTTTCTAGGATTGATGAGGAAGTTCTTTAAGAAAAAATGGATAGGCTTGATAACTGGGCCACTGAAACTGGCTAGCTTCAGTGTTGCAGTGAGCTGAGGATTGCAAGGGAAGACATACATCAGTCTTGGGTGCAGAAAAATGAAGGCAGCCAAGGTGGATTATGCTTTTCAATTTTGGGGGTTGGGAACCACTAATGAAAATGAAAGAAGAGGATGCCCTCATTAAGCAGGGAACCACAGGGGGAAAGTAGCTGGTGTACTCTCCTGTTCTCCTTCATTTTTTTTTGGACTTTGTGTTTAGTACTGTTTTGTCACAGTATTTTTCAGAGAACTTAGTTCATAGCTGATGTAACGTAACCAATTTGGGAAAGAGCCTGTTTTTAAACTGACAACTGTTGCTTTTTTAGATAGTTACACTGAAAAGGAAAGGATAAAATGTAATTCCGTCGTTTAAAAGCAGTTTGTTTTCATTATTATCAGAAAATTATCCCCAAACTATAAAGTAATTTTTTTAGGGACTGAGATTGATGTTTAAAAGCAGTAGGAGGATGTAAATAACTTCTTGCTTAGTATTTCCTATGCTGAGTTTTAATGTTGAGAGAAAAGAGTTATAGTATATTCAAGACAAACAGTATTCCTGGAAGTTTTAATGTTCCTAGCCTGAGTTTTGTAAAAATGTGTTATTTAAGTAGTATTAAACCATGAACCATGTCTTTGATTTGCATGTTTTTCTAATATTAATACTTATTCTATTTTGTGAATATTATTCTAATTAAGAGAGAATATGGTGAAAAAAGATGAGGTAGTAATTTAACTTTACTATTTAGTACTCTATCTGGTCGAACACCTGAAGAGACCTAAATGTAAGGAAGCAAATGAACTTCTGAACTGCTCAGTTATTGGAAGATGAACCATCTTGTTTGGTTCTAAGGTGTGCTGCAATTGTTAAAATGTAACTGGTTCTTAGTTATTAGAAAAATTTGTGTTTGTTTTCATATGCCTGTTGCCTGTGTTGTTTTAGTGGTCAACCTAAACTTTGATTTAAAAATAGTAATATGTGCATCAACGGGCAATCAGACACATGGAACAGTGTTTTTCCAGTTTTGAAGATTTGTCATTGATCTTTCCAGACTTTCATTTGAACAGTTTTTCTTTGTTCAGTCATGTACTTTATGGAAATTAAGGTTAGGGCTCTAGGCAGAATTTTTCATGTCCTGTGGAACGTTTTTCTTTTTTACATTGTTGAAAACATTATTTTGGAATTAATTTATCAGGATGACTTTTAAAATGTTCCTGTGTGTCACTTGGTTTTGTCTGGTGTTTATGAATGGAGGCAATGTCTGAAGTGTAAGGAACTCTGGATATAGAATCAGAATGGCTGGGTGAGTTCTGGGGGTACCTGGAAACACTGTTAAGTCCCAAGAAAGTTATTTAGTCTATTCAATTTTGTAAAATGAGAAAGCCCCTGCCCATTTATTACCAAGATCGTCACTGAGATACTGCTCTTTGAATTGTGTTTATGCGAGAGACTTCTTTGCTTATCAGCAAATTATTTTTCAATAATCTGAACTTTTCATAAATAGATTTAAAAAAATTTGAGCATCAAATCTCTTACTGATGTAAGAATATTTAAGGGTTTAGGTACACTTTAAGAAAATTATATCAATAAATAGTCAGCAAAAGAAACTGTAAAACAAACATATTAAGCTATATTCCTTACAGCCTTTAAAAATAACCCACTCTTCTAAAACGTTACTAATATTATACACATCTTTTTATTTATTTATTTATTTATTTTAGCAACCTCATTATTACATGGTATGATCTTGTGGGATTTCCTATTCTTTCACGGGCTGGATCATTGTTCATTGTATATGTTGATGATAGAAAGATCTACTAGACTCACTCCACCCTCCTTGCCAGCAAAAAAAGAAAAAACATCCAGTAGTACATTTCACTTTACCACTTTGTGGAGCATTTCCCTTTCTGATAAAGTGAGAGAACTGTTAGGTCATTGATTCTTAACTTTGTTTATTAGAGAGCTGTTTGTTTGTTCGTTTTGTGGTACTGGAATTTGAATTCTGGGTCTTATTCTTGCCAGGCCTCTACCACTTGAGCCACACATTGTGGAACTCTGTTCTCAGAAGAGTGCACACAAATACATTTTTGCTGGTTTTGTAGGAGGTTCAAGTAACCCCTGGAATATCTGATTTCCTGGTTCTCTTCCATTTCTTAAATTTTAGAATACAATGAGTCTAAAGCACTGTAGCTTTTATTTTTGTCCCCAGTAATTACATACCATTGTATTATGATGTAGATATAAAATTAGTCTTTTGGATCTTATTCAAGTAAACATCAAGCAAATATGTTATTTTAAAAAGAAAACTTCTAGTCTAAAGTAGGCAGCTGTAAAGAAGCACTGCCAGGAAAGATGGCAGAAAACGTAAACAATCAGTTTAGAAAATCTTTACTAGTCTTGAAGTAGAATGAGGAAAGAAGGGTCTAGCAATCAGTGGCTCTCATTTGGAGGACAGTACCTCCCTCAGGGTATTTGGGAATACTGTGGGGACACTTTTGGGTATCACAAATAGGGAGGCTTGTATTTAGTGGGCAAGAGCCAGGAATGCTAAATGATATGCAAGGCTTAGAGCAGTTCCACACATCAAGGAATTGTCTGACCCAAATGCCAGTACTCTGACAATTCCCTTCAGGTGATCATGAGATAGGCGCTATCACAAGGGAACTTGCTCTTAAAACTGAAGTTATTTTGTTTCCTTTAAAAATACTGAGTTAAACATAAACTATCCATTGCTGCTAATTCCCTTTTGGAAAAATTCACAATGGAAGCAAGTGATTTGCTGCATTTTGGTTATTGGTCCTTGGCCTCTTGTAGTAGTTTCAGCCAGAATGGGGTTGGGGTTTGCTGTTTGCTGGAGTTTGGGAAGGAAGAGGCAACTATTAGTTTCATGTAGCTAGTGTAAGGTAGCCATTTAATTTTTTTGCTTTATATTTTGAAACATCTTTTTCACCTTGATCTCGTACTTTAAAATTTTCAAGGTGTTTGTACACTTATTTTTTATCATCTTTGTTCTATTATATAGTCTCCTACTTATATTGGCATTAGTACTTTGAGGATATATTGCAAGTGAGTTGATCTTCCAGTAACTAAATGATTTTATGTAGACCTGTGTTCAAAAACAAAGAGAAGAAAAGGTCTTAAGCAGTTGAGGTGGAGTGGGACTGAAGGCATAGAGAAAATAGAATGGATTTTGGAATCAGCTTTACCTGAGGTAACCTTCCAGTTCGAATCTTGCATGTCCTATTACCATAAATAAGCCAAATGCTAAATCTCTGATGTAGTCTCCTCATCTGTAAAATGAGAATGGTAATTCCTGCTTTTAGAATTGTTCTGAAGATCAGAGTTCCTGTATATCTGATACAGTGAGTGGGCTCCCAGTTAATGTGAGTGCTCTATCACAAGTGATAATGAAGATGAATTCTGTAGCTATCCAGCCTTGTTAAGAGTGTCCAGAACACAAGACAAGGGCAATATTGTAGCTGGATACCACGCCCTGGCAAGGAGTAGTCTATTTTATCAGGTCAGGAGGAGATGCTTTCTGGGCATTTTTAGTTGGCATTTAGAATTTGTTGCTCATGAGTCTCCTGTAATATGTAATTTTTTGTTCAGTCCTGTAAGCTGTGGAAGTCAGTATACTACAGACCAAATGAGTTTGAGGACTGGTTTGGAGACAGTATTCCTTCCTTGAGTGTGGGGCACAGAGCTTTGGGTATGGCAGAGGCTCAGTTAAAAAGTCTGTTTAAATATTTATCACATGGCTGTGAAGAGTTAGGAGCATTTACAAATGTTCTCATTTTCATCATAGCTATTTTCGGTCACCCCCGTTCCCTACAATGTGCAAGTTGAGTTTTATTCCAAAATTCATTTGTAAGGCTGTTTGAAAATTTTAAATAATGATTAGGTCCAGGTTTGCCTTCCAAAAGGCCTACTTGACTCGGTAGAGTTTGATCCAAAAAAAGTCCAATTTAATTAATCAAGTACAATATGTGGAGCTCCCTTTGTGGGCTAAGCAGGAAGCTCTCTGGATGCAGAGGCTCAGTGGGAGATATATAAGGCCTACATAAAAAGTTCATCATCCATAAAGAAATGATACATATAATTACAAGGTAGCTAGTAGAAGTACTGTCTGTGGTTTTAAATAAGCTGCTTTTGAATTTAAAGGAAATATCATTATGTACTGACTTGTAAAGGTGCCCAAGTTGTACTATAGTAAATTACAAAAAATAACCTGTGTAATATTTTCCTATAAAACTGTTAACATTCATAGAAAACAAATAAAAGAATAGATGACAGTTTGAGAAGATGAACATCATGGTAAGCACAAGGACTTTGGAGTCAGACCATATGGATTTGAATCTTAGCTCCATTTCTTACTAGGGTTGTGAACTTAGTCAGGTGACTTCACCTTACTTTCCTATTTCACTTCACATATAAAATGCACATAATAAGTATTTATCTCCTAGGGCTTTTTCTTGTTGTTTAGAGGATTGTTTTGTTTGTTTTTATTTTTTGAGATAGGGTCTTGCTGTGTAGCCCAGGCTGACCTCAAACTCTTAATCCTCCTGCCTAAGCCTCCTGAGTGCTGGGGTTACAGACGTGTACCACCACACAGAGCCCTCTTAGAGTTACTGTGAGGGTTAAATGAGTTGCCTTACGTCAAGTGCTTAGAAAAGCACATAAAAAGCCTTACATGTAATTTGTCTTAAACACACAAAAGGAAATATAACTGTATTTGTCCATTTTGTGTTACTATAATGAAATACTGGAGACAGGCTAACTTTATTTTTAAAAAGAGCTTTATTTTGCTCACAGTTCTTTTTTTTTTTTCATTTTTCTTTTATTATTCATATGTGCTCACAGTTCTGATGCCAGCATCAGCTCTGCTGTGGTGGTTCCCTCAGCAGATGAGAGGATGAGATCACATTACCAAACAGGAAGCAGAGGGACCTCATTCCCAGAGCAGTGACCCTGGTTGGTCTAAGAACAACATCCCAGTAGGCACCATATCTTTTGTTTTACTTTTGGGGATGAGACTGGGGCTTGAATTCAGGGTTTCCTGCTTGCAAACCAGTCTCTACTGTTTGAGCCACACCTATAGTCCTAGGCCCCACCCCTTAAAGGTCCCACTTTCTAACATCATCACAGTGAGAACCATGCTCCCAACACATGAATCTTTGGGGGATAAACACATCTGAACCATAGCAGTCACTTAGTTAGAGTTAGAGGAGGAAACAAATACCTAAACTGATTGTGGTAGCAACATTCTGGGTTTTAGGAATCAGGGGCCACATGGATAAAACTCCTTGGAATCCAATCATTAGGTTGTTCATCTTAGCTTCCTCTTCTAGCTTTCTCACAATCACCCCCATGATTGTGACAGTTGGCAGCCTGTGCTAAAGCAGATATGGGACACAGCTGTGGCCCTAGGGAGAGTGGGCCAGGTCTGGCTTCTGTGGCTGGTGTATGTTTGGGTGAGTGCTCAGTGGTCTGCTTTTGTGCAGAAATTCTAAAATATAAGCACTAAACATTAAAATGGGTCCTTTTGTTCGTCTATGGAGGTTATCCTCATGAGCAAGTCACACTTTATTTTAAAAAATGCAGTATCTTTAGTCAGACTATTAATTTTCTATAAAGCCTATTGTAACCAATAGGCTTGGGAATTTAGATAGAAGGCAATAAGGCCTGGTTTTTATCTTCCAGATTCTGTTGGAGATGTTTCAGATTAGCCATTTGCTTTTCTTTGAGGTGATGGGGCAAGCTTTTAGGCCTCCTCATGTATTTGGTCCTAGTAAATATAAGTGTATACCACTTAATATTTTTTTACTACAACATGCTGAATATTTTCTTATTTAGCAAATAACTAATTTAAATAAATTAGTATAGAAACTTCTCATTTCATTATGTGTCTGTTAAATTAACTAGCACTGAAATCAGAAAAATGGTATAATTATGTATCAGACGCACATTGATTTCTTTTTTCTTATCTCTTGCAGGATTTCTGGTAGGTCCTGCCTTAGGACAAGATGTGGTACCACTGAAACATCGATCTGCTTTGAGTCACAGACAGCTGAACTTTTCACCTGGGAAACCTTTTTAAACTTAATTTTGTTTTGTTTTTATGGCTTACTGAACTTATGAAACCATGGTGGAAGGAGAGACGAAGTCACCTGGGCCCAAAAAGTGTGGTCCGTATATTTCATCCATCACTAGCCAGAGTGTGAACTTGATGATTCGAGGAGTAGTGCTATTTTTTATTGGAGTATTTCTCTCGTTAGTGTTAAATTTGCTTCAGATTCAGAGAAATGTGACACTTTTTCCACCCGATGTGATTGCCAGCATCTTTTCTTCTGCATGGTGGGTACCACCGTGCTGTGGCACAGCCTCAGGTATGTGTAGGATGTTTCTGCAGTGCTTAGCAAGGAGATAGGGCAGATGAGTGTGGCTGTTGTTTGAACAATAAACTTTTTTTTTTAAATCAGCTTTATTGGGGTATAATTTAAGTATGATGGACTCGTTCTAAGCGAAAAGATGTGTTTGGAACATGATACAAGTCATGCAGCCATGGCCACAATCCAGCTATAAAACATTTCTGTCATCCTTCAAATTCTTTTTTGCCCTCTTGCATTCCTTCCACACCCCTAGCCTCAGGCTACCACTGATCTGCTTTCTGTTGCCAAAAATTATCTTTGCCTGCTCTAGGAAGGTAATAACAGTAGATCACAAGTATGTACTATTCTGAGTCTGATTTCCATTACCTATGAACTTTAAAAATTGAATTCTAAAAACAACCCTGATTCCCTTTGGGATGAGACATTCTGCCTCTTTTCTTTCTTCAACTCATTTCATCTAAGTTTTATTTTAAGATATTCTGATGATGGCTACCAGCATTTGGTTTTAAAGGTTTGATATGTGCTATGGTCTTTTTTTTTAAGTAAATTAAGAAGAAAACTTGAAAATGGAATAATTTTATTCAAGTTTAAATCTTCATGTTGTATTTAAGATTTTTTTTAACATATCCTTGGCATCTGGTTTTTATGTATACCTTAAGAATAATAAATATTTGAAGAGATCAATAAGGCAATTCCTTTTGCTTAAAATCATTATTATCCTATTAGTTACTTTGGATCAAATTTTGGTGATAGACAGTGTATAATGGATAAAGTGGAGCATTTCAGAATGTTTTATTGATGCTGATCTTACATAATGAATAGCTGTCTAGCTTTCTCTAGACCAACACTGTTCTGTATAAAATAAAGTAATAGAAGGCAGTCCTAACATGTGGTAGAAGATAATTCTGACTCAGAGATTATATTGCTTTTTTGAATGTCCGTACTTAATATATAAATACCTCACAATATAATATAAATCTGTCTTGTCTTATATCCTAGAGCTAGAGGTTTAAAGGTGTGTCTAGTAGGTGATGGTGACTTGTAAGATATTTTGAAATGACCTCATGAAACCTGCTGGACAATTCCATAATCCTGTTGCCTAGATAGAAAGACATTGTTGTGGTAATGTTTCAGTCTAACAACTGCAATGCTCACATTAAAAGGGGAGTCATAAAGGCCTTGAATCTTGAATTCTCCAGGGTTATCATTCTCCTTGAATAGTCCAAGGAGAAGATTCTATGATATATCTGCTGGTCCTCATGTATTTGCTTTCACTTAAATTCAGAAGAAGGTTGGCAGAGTGGCTCAAGTGGCAGTGTACCTGCCTAACAAAATGAGGCCCTGAGTTCTTAAATTCAGAAGAGAAAAATAAAATTTTCTCAATAACTTTTTCTAGTTCTTTTTCTTCTTAGGTGTTGCTCGGTCTGGCTGCCAATAAAAGCTTTTTGGGATTTGGAAGAACATGCTTTTTCAGGCTAGACAAAAGAAAGATTGGAGGAGGGAAAGATTGCCTATTGCATGTCTGCTAATGTGCCAGGCACATCCCTTAACCCCAGGGCTTTGTAGGGAAACTTTGGTAGGGAGATAGTGGCATTATTCCTGGTTTTGGGGGTAGTGGTGGATGAGAACTTAAGAGAGGAAATCAGTGAGCCCAGGGTTCTAGCACCAGTGAATGGGAGGGCTGGACCATACATACAGAAGGAGCTAGTACTCAGTCTGCATCTTTTCAAGCCTCTCAAGGAGATCATTGGCCTGGATGGAGTACCCTGGTGTGTGGTACATATTCCTGGGTGAGCCAGGGATACATGACTGATGTTTCATTGTACCTCTCTGTGGAGAGAAGCAGGCTGTATTTGCTGCTTGCTGCTCCTGACCCTGTAATGAGAGGTCTTTTGGCAAAACAAATTTAGGAAGGAAAGTTCTAAATGTTAATACTGCCATTCAGCTACTTCATCCCTATTGTCTTTCCTTTCCCTAGCTACTAGGTTTGTCACACTTACAAACTTAACTTCATACTTTTTCATTTGAGAGACTGGCATTCACATTTCTTGCTTAAATGTTTCTTCTGAAACACATATTCTACAGGGTATCTGGGCAAAAGAAAGTGGAGGCATCAGGAAGCCTCCATTCCAGTTCATTCTGCTACTGATTTTGTTGGGTAGGTCTTGGTGTTCATTGAATGAGTGAAGGAACCAGATTTGTGAACGTTGCCAAAGATGGAAAATGGATTTCTACATACTATCTTCTCCCTCCAACCCACATTGTTATTTTAGGGAAAGTGTCAAGGGGGATAAAAGAAGTAAATAATACAAGAAACATTGTGTGTGTGTTGTATATATGTGGAATATATATATATATATATATATATGCTTTGCGCATTTGTTGGTATGCATTTTCTAAACCTGTCTACATTCTTACTATCATAAGTAAGAAAAACAGATAGTCATCTTTTGATGACTGCAAACTAATTTTCTTAGAACGAGCAGCTTCCTTTTGGAAGGTCTCCAGACTCACCACTTCATAAACAGAAGGTCCCCTTGTTCTTGATGCCACCTTTCCCTATGGCATGGACAAAGTAATGGTGCTTCTCCACTACGAGAGAAATCTGATAAACTTTTTGTGTCATTTTCATTTTCAGTTTGACAGTGCTGATGTTATAAGTTGACTACCTTGTTCACGTGTGCAGTGCACTAGAATTAGAATTAGAAAACATTTGAGCATTACTGAGGACCACAAAGGAATCTTTCTAAAGAATACATAGAAGAAAAATAGCCAACTGCCATGGTATGTGTAAAATAAGCAGGGAAATTACTTTAAAAATCACAAGTAGCCAAGTGCAAATCTATGAATATAATAATTAAAAAATAAAAAATGTTTCCTATTTTTTCATATAGGCCATTACCCCATTCCTGGAACATTCTGTAAGATTCTCCCTTTCTCTCACTTTCCAGGTCAGCTTCCAATATTCACATCATCCCCTGACCTGGCCCTTACTCACTGTGCTTGGAGTTACCAGTCCTTTTCTTTCTACCTGTGATTTTGTACCCCTGTCCCCACCTTGTGTTGTCCACCTACTGCTATAGCAATGATTGCCACTGTCTGGGACAAAACGTGATGGCATCATTTTTCTGATTCTCCAGAATGTGCTGGGTAAAGTCTTTGTATGATTTGGCACTTCCCTGCTTTAATCTTCCTCTGAGCCTTTCTGAACCCTGTAGCTTTCTTGGTGCCCAAAGTTTACGGTTTTCTGGTAATACCATGGCTTTCAGTTGTACTGTTTCCTCAAATGCCTCCTTTTGATGAGAAAGCCATTTCTACATCAGCCACTGCTGAACACTCCTACCTCTAGGGTTACCTATTCTGTGAAACTTTCCTGATAGTCGGCACCCTGCTTCCCTGTAACTCATGAGGGGCTACTGGACCCATCAAAGCCCTGTCAGTGCTTAACACAGCATTGTATGTAATAGTGTCTGGTCACTTTTCTACTGGAATCCTGTCTTCCTCTTTTTTTCTTTTTAAATCCCTGGCAAACATCAAGAAGTAGACATATCGTGGGGCTTAAGTATTTGCTAAATAAGAATATAAACTTTTTCTGCTGTAGTTTTCCTGAAAGTGTATCTCATTTTGTGCTTTCCTTTTTCTTCATCTCCTCTCCTTGCAAAATGTCTGATTTAACTGTGTTCCTTTTAGTGCCTTACTGCAGTAAGCACACTACCATGAAAAAGTGATGACTTATTCCTGCTTTTGTCTTTGGTCTTGGCAGACTGTAACTAGTTACTGGGAAATCACTTAAAGATATCACAAGAAATGTGATTTTGCATCAGAGAACCATCTGATTAAGCAGAATGGCATTTGCATATATTTTAAGTCTCTGTTTAAAAAAAAAACACAGGAAGAGGAAAAGAAGCCAGACACATTCTGTGGAGCTCTCAAACAGCAGAGATACAGAGAGCTGTGCTGTATCTGTTGCTATCAGACTCTGCCATGCCTCTATTTAAGGAAAGAAAGAAGACATTTAATGGGAAGTGACAAGCTTCCTCGAATTCTTCCTCTCAATGAGCAACCGAGAGCCATGCATACTCGATGGATTTGATTTTTATTGGCAAATCCCAAGGTTGGCAGCATGGCAGTTTAAATTCCTTTTTGTGGTTTTGCTTTCTCTCCTCAGTTGTCTCTCACTTGCAAGTCTGACATCACGTGCATAAAAATATAGTCAATTTTACTTATTTATATCTTCGCACACACATGTCAGTATTCTCTATGATAATTCTTTACCTATTGCATCAACTGCTGAAGAAAATTGATTTGGAATGCCTTCTCAAGTGATTTTACTCAGCAATAGGCAAACAGGATATATAGATATATGTGCAGATGTATCGAACTGTATATTTACATATATATATCTTATACAGAACAGGGAGAGGAAGGAATGACAAATGAACGGTTGGTTTTAAAACCCTCTTGAGAGAAAAAAAGAACTAACCTTTAGGTATTTTCAACTATTGGGCATGCTTGTTACCATTTTAATTGTATAGAAATGTAGAAACACTATCAGTTAACCTCACAGGGTTTTAGAGCAGTGTCTTTTAAATAGGAATATAAGATGAAACCTTTCAATTTTCTAATAGTTGTTGGATGTCTGTGTTGCTGAGATTTGTTGATCATCTCTTGACTGTTTGTAAGTCATCTAAACTTAGCAAATGCTTAAGTGAAAAGAGTCATAGACTAGATAATGCATATATTATTACTGCATCTCATCTCCAGATAATAAGTAGCTAAGTAGCCTCCTCCCAATGCTGCTCCATTGGTCTGCTAGCCTATGGTTTTTGACATTTGTTAGTTTCTGTTTTTCTTTGATGATTGAATGCAGTGCTTGTAGGATGTAGCTAGCCAATACCATGTAGGGGAGGAGGCTTCTGAACCTTGGGCACTTAGATTTTGGTATAATTTCATTATATGTCATAGTACTGATGGACAGTTATATCTTTATTACTAGAATGGCAGTATAATTCTGTTCTGAGGAAATTAGCAAATCAAAGCTGTCTAGCTATTTCCTGTTAAATTTAATCTATAGAAGTGCATTGTTCTTATAAATTGTTGAATAATGTTTTGGTTCATTAGTCTTATTTTATGATTAATGACATTTAAATTTTTCTTCTTGTAAGTGAATAAAATGTTAAGATTTGACAAGTATTTAAGAACTGGATGAGAATAGTTTGGGTCTCAGTCATAGATAGTTTGTATATAGTTACTGTATAGTTAATTACATAAGTAATATCGAAGCTGTTCTTTCAAAAACTAAGAAATAGTCTAAGATGCTTTCCTGTTATCTTTTACCAGTGAATTTAAATTTTTTCTGTAAAATTGTAATTCCTACATATCATGTGTCCTTCATTTTTTTCTAAGTGAAGAATGAAACATAATTGATTTCTGTTGCAAGTTTTCCTGCCTTGACAATATGACTTCTAGCCTTAACAGAGGGACAGGGTGAAAAGGAGTATCAGGAAGAGGTGTTATGTGCAGAGGACTGAGATAAGGAGCTGGTAGGGGAGACTCCTCTAAGCAGGACAGCCAGGACCATTGGAACATTGTGTGTGTGATGAGCTTGTACGTGTATATGCTTTTAACCTCTCCCTAGATTTGTCACACTGAATAGTATGTCTGAGGCTTATGGAGGTTAGAGAACATTGTTTAACTGCTAAATGGTTTGATGCTTTTCAAGTCTCATAGACACTCATGATAGAAAAGTAGCATGAATCATCTGGTCAAGTCTGCTCAGTTGTGAACCATACACTTACAGCGCTTTGTCTATTAGGATTTAAATACTGTTGTGGTCATGTCCAGTGCTTCCTTCAGTACACTATTCTCATTTTTTTAGAAGGTAAGTTTTAAAAAATGTCAGTGATGTTTAATAACTTGATTTTTTTCCTTTTAAAGAATCTTTAAGATGATGGTAGTGATTTTTGTAGCTTAATTGTTGCTCCATTACAACACTGAAGATGACTTAATTTTTTTTCTTTTTTTTCCCACAGCTGTGATTGGGTTATTATACCCTTGCATTGACAGGCATCTAGGAGAGCCACATAAATTTAAAAGAGAGTGGTCCAGTGTAATGCGGTGTGTAGCCGTCTTTGTTGGCATAAATCATGCCAGCGCTGTATCCTTTACGCGGTAATGAAATGCGCAGTAATAAAGCAGCTTGTGACAAACCAAAGGTTAAGCGGCCCCTTGCAACTTCACTGTAGTCATCTTAGTCATAAAAAAGAATGTGAGCCATATTGTGGAAACATCAGGAAAGCAGTGAGATTATTATAGTGGTGGCATAGCCCTTCATTAAATCTGTTTTTTTTTTAAACAAATTTAGAAACTTCACATTAAAGAAATTTACGTATTTGTTCTCAGTCTACTACTGGTAATTCTGAGATTGAAATGGGTATATTTTCAAAAGATTTTTTCCTGTCTTTCTTTACTTAAGATTTGCCAATAAGGACATGTGGCAGTTTCAGACACTATTGTTTTATTTTATTTCCTTAACTTACAGTTCTAATTTTTAAGAAGGCAGACTGTTATTTATTGATTTTAATCAACGCCAAAAAGCCATGTAAATGGTTTTAGTTTTGTTTTGGTTGAAACAGGGTCTTACTATGTCACTCAGGCTGGCCTGGAACTTGTGATGCTCCTACTTCCATCTCCTAAGGCTGCACACAAGTGGTTTTGTTGTTGTTTGTTTTTGTTTTGGCAGAACTAGGGTTGGCACTCAAGGCCTCGCACTTGCTAGGCAGATGCTCTACCACTTGAGCCATGCCTCTAGCCCTTTTTTGCTTTTACCTATTTTTTGGATAGGGTTGCCCATTTTTTCCCCCTGGGACTGGCCTTCGACTGCAATCCTCCTACCCATGTCTCTTGCATTAGCTGGGATTACAGTTGCATGCCACCACAACCAGCTTGTTTGATGAGATGAGGTCTGGTGAATTTTTTGTCCCAACTGGTCTCAGACTGTGATCTTCCTGATTTCTACCTTCTCAGTAGCTGGGATTACAGCCCCCATGCCTGTCTTGCACATTAAAGATGGCATAAGTAGAAATAACCAATTTAGCCTTGCCCCCAAATAATTATTTTTTCTTCTGAGATACATAGTTTTGAAATTTTATCATTTGAGGATTCTGACATTTTATTTAGTGATTAATGAGTTTTTTAATAATGTCTCCTCAAATAGGGTAAGGTAGCCACTATTTTCCTTCTCCCCTCTTGCCCCTAGAATTCTAAAAAAATATCAAATCCTAGAATACATTTTCTGCCCTCATAAGGTTTTGGTCCTTTTTCTTCTCTCCACTTTCTTCCCATTCTCTGACTTTCTTTTGGGAAGAGAATATGGGAATTGCTAGTCCTGACTTCTTTCTTCTAGAAGATAGACATGGTTTAGACAGTGAAGGTGGCAGGAGCCTTGGGAAATGAGAGGGAAGGAAGTATAACTCTGGCTGCCAAGGTTTGCTTTTGTTCTACCATGGAGAGGTGGATCGTATGGCAAGTCTGTTTCTGTACCCCTTGCCAAAGGTATTGAGGTATGTTTGGAGACACTTGGGAACAAAACCCATGGAAGGAGTCAGGAACCTAGATTGCCCCTGCATAAATTTGAAAGTCCCTTTGGGACTGCTATCATTTTCGTTTTTCATTTCTGTTTGTATTAAAGAATTTCCCAACGTGTTTATTTTGGTGAACTTTTTCAGGTTTAGCATTTTATTTTTAAAAAAATGTAGTGCTTGGTAGAGCTTAAAAAAACAAAATCATTGGCTAGGGTATCTAGATGGGAGCTTAAAAATCTCCTACTTCCATGTTTTCTTTCTTTTTTTTGTTCTTTTGGTAACTGGGATTTGAACACAGGGCCTCATGCTAGGCAGGCACTCTACCACTTGAGCCACTCTGCCAGCCCATGTTTTCTTTGTAAAGGTACTAAGACATATGGAAGGAGAGAGGCTGGGTAATTTGCTAAGTCATTCACACTGCCAGTCTGCAGCTGAGCTGAGACTGAACTTCAGGCTCCCAACTCATCTATGTCTCATTCTCTCAACTAGGAGCCCTGAGGTGTGTTCATTCCCCTCTATCTGCTGGATTAAACCTTTCTCTCCCACACATTTCAACTGTGATTTCTGTTTTTAAGTAGAGAAATTTAAATAAGCCTATTCTAAACTATTAGAAACTTTACATACAATTTATATTCTTTGTTTGCTCTCTTTTTCCTCACTCAATGAAATACTTAACTATAGCAATCTTAGCTATCCTCCTGGTCCTTCAAGAAAATTCCAAAATGTTTATAAAATTTATAGCATTAACTTTTCATATGAAGCTTACTTAGACATTAAAAAATCACTAGTTACTGTTTTTAAGATTGATGTATTTTGTTTGCATTGAAAACCTCCTTACTTCGCTTCATGAAGATAACTTAGTTAGCAAAGATGTAGCCCGTTATATCAAATTCCACTCTTTATATTAATGCTATTATGCAGTGGAATCAGTGCTCAAACCATTTCTTTGGAGTTTAAGTATGGTGGCAGCAAAAGCATGACAAAAGCTTGCCCAGAAAGCAAACCCATATGAACTATTGGTTTCTTGATAAGTCAGGCCTAACCAGGCAATACCTTGAGGGAATGGCACACACAGCCCTCAGATGCTACATCTTAGAAAGCTGGGTGTTAAGGATGCTGCTTTGGTAGGAGTTCAGGAATGCTGGGGAATGGTGGTAAACAACCAGGTGTTACAAGGAAGCAGGAAGTGGCTTGTAGGCTTTTTTTTTTTTTTTTTTAATTTTCTGGAGTCATAGCATGGCCAGTTACTTTGGTGAGATATGTAACTCCTGAGGAACTGGTTATAGAGCTTAGATGTGGCCTTTGGGACATAGATAATGTCCCTTTAATGATACTTGAAATTAATTCCTTTAGTGTAATCCTCTAGCAAAGAAATAAGAAAATTGAATTTGTAAAGCTTCATTTTGCCCACAGATTCTGGAGTAGAAAAGGGCTGTACATTTGTGAATAGATGCTTAAGTAGGTGACAGAAATAAAATATCATTTGAGCAAACTGTCCTGTGCTAGAAAGTCTCAGGCACCAAAATAGCTTGTCAGGTTGCAAGATAATGTTCACTTCAAGGCTTTATCCTCAACAAATTAAAACCAGAACAGTTGACATAATAGAAAGGGATACTGTGTCCTTGGTAGTCTTATTTCTGAACTGCATTATTATAAAATGTGTCTGTCAGTAAATCATGTAGAGAATGTGGTACCCTGTTAAATAGCTGTCAACTCTTCTATTTCCATGTTCCTGTATGATTTTTGAGTAATACTAAACTGCTTTGAGAAGTAATATTGGTTTCCTTTTTCACAAAACTATGTTCCTTTAGCAATACTAGTGTTGTGAAGATTGCAGTCACATGTTTAGCAAAGAAGTCATTTCTTAAATAATGAGTCTGATTTTATAATTAGGAACATAAATGGATTTTTCTTTTTTGAGGGCTTCCAGGACAGTAAGAGGTATTTACTGCCCTTTGTATATCTGGTATTTGGTGAATTCTGAAGATAGTTTTATTATTTAATGTGGGGCTGGGATTTAAACTCAGGACATCTCACTTGCAAAGCCAGTGCTCTACTGCTTGAGCCACACTTCCAGTCCATTTTTCTCTGGTTATTTTTTTTGGAGATGGGGTCTCACTAACTGTATGCTTGGGTGGCCCTTGATCAAACCATGATCCTCTCAAGTAGCTAGGATTACAGGTGTGAACCACATGGGCCCAACTCTGAAGATAGTTTTCATTTCACCTATGTTAAAAGGCTGAACATACTCAAGAATAAACAACTGAGTCCCTCAACAATGGCATCTCTTATTTTAGGAAGTGAATAATAAGTGATATTATTTGGTTATAAGGTTTAAGATGATTCTTTAACACTGATCTCAGAAAGTGGATTTTGATAACAACATACAGTTGTCTCTCACACTGGCTGCACTATCCATTGGACTGTGGTGGACTTTTGATAGATCTAGAAGTGGTTTTGGTCTTGGTGTAGGAATTGCTTTTTTGGCAACTGTGGTCACTCAACTGCTAGTCTATAATGGTGTTTATCAGTAAGTATTACTCTTTTTTGTGCTTGTTTGCTATGTAAATAAATGATAACTGAGTTTAGAATTGAGATGTTGAATTGGGTTAGTTAGTTTAATCTACAGAATAACTTATTTTCATTGTGATTTTCTTAAGTGTCTTTGTACCTCCTCTGGGGGTTGTTAAAATATTTCTATTATTCTAGATATACATCTCCAGATTTCCTCTATGTTCGTTCTTGGTTGCCATGTATATTTTTTGCTGGAGTCATAACAATGGGAAACATTGGTCGACAACTAGCAATGGTAAGCCGATGCTCATTTGACCCCTTTTCTGTGTGAGATGTGACAGATTTTCTTTAAATAGCCATCCTTCTTAGCAGGAAAACAATTTGTGAAGACATTATTTGATTTCTCATTTGTACTTTCATTGAAATAAATCATTTAGGAGAATTTAATCATAGGAGTATTAAAAGTTGAGGAGCTATTACAGAGAAAAGCCAACATGTGTTATGAATAGGGTAATATGATTTGTTGACCATATGGGGATGTTAGATTTTTTTTAAAAAACGAATCTACAAATTTCCAGTCCATCAAAAAGGTATCAGGGTTAAAATTGAAAAGGGACACTACTAATAACCACACTGCTACAATATTCATAAAATTAGGACTGCCTCCAGCAAATTAAGACATCTGATCATTTTACTTATGAAGGAAAAGGACATCGTTGATAACCCAGGTCATAGTGGCAAGGGTTAGCATTCAAAAACCATGGCAGTTTCATGAATAAGCGCTTATCATTTTCATCATTGTAGCCAGCAGGGAGAATTCAGTCATTTACTTTGCTATCTTTTTGATAATCTGGCCACCCAATTCTTCTAAGTCTATTGGTTTTCTTTATTTTGAATTATGGTTATACATTTTTATAGATTTACTTTAACATGCTGTTTTGACTAGAAGTTTTTATAATGCAATAAATTTTTTCCTTTAAATCATAAAGTGATTTGAAACAATTATCTAAATTCACTACATCAGCCCCATCCTTAAGTTTGAGACCTATGCTTTGCTGGTTCACTTTACTGAGCTAAGAAACATACTTTACTTCCTTTCATATTATAGAATTGATTTAAATCACCTACTGCTGTCATTGCTTATCATGCAGAAACCCCATCTTTCTCCTGCTTTTGTCTATTGTTTATCACTTTTAGAATGTGAATTAGGGGCTGAAGGTTTAGCTCAGTGGTAGGGCATTTGCCTAGCCATGTATAAGGTCCTGGGTTCAGTTTCTAGCACCGCAAAAAAAAAAAGTGAGTTAGCTTTTCTTCTATATCTCATTTGTCATTTAATCCTGATAATTGTGTAACTCTCAGATTCTTTGAGGAATAATGTAGGCATATATATTCATTTTTAGAGCTTTTTTGGTTGTTTGGAAGTTATCGTTAACCTTTGACTTTTTAATTTTTGCAGTATGAATGTAAAGTTATTGCAGAAAAATCTCATCAAGAATGAAGAAGGCAAAAATGTATCTTTTATATATCAAGAAGAAAATGGCATATAAATGATAGAAATACCAACAAAACTTCGGACTGTAAAAAATTGCCAAGATGCAGTTTTTCCCTTGATTGGTGTGTATAGACACATACACATGTTGTTATTGCAATCTGTGATTGCATCATCTGTAAATCAGTTGCAAACCTTTGTGTATTTGAGTTAGGTAACTGTAAGATATATGTGCACTACATTAAAATATGTTAATAGATGAAATTTTTAAATTAATTTTTTAAATATACCATACATTGTATTACAATGTTGACGTGCCAAAATATTCTCTGTCATGAAGAATTAATAATGCTTTGAATAGTTTTTAAATTTAGAGAACTAAGATATAGAAGAAAGCCAAAAAAACAAGCAAACAAACAAACAAGAAAAGGGGTAGCTGGTATATTTTCTTTTGCTTACTGTTGTGCCTTTTTGTTTTTCTAGTCACAGCAGTATGAGTTATGAGTGCTCTGATGTGTGGTTAGTTTCTGTTTTGATGTTATTTCAAAGAGTTTGAGTATTTTAATATATGGTGAAAATGAACTTGTATAGAATGGGTTTAAACCTGTTACTGGAGAGAGCCCAAAGAGTAAGTTTCTATTATAGCAGATTTTATTGTTGGTATATGTGATGGGCAGGTGAAGTTACCAACATTAAATTGCTTTGAGTTTAACTTTGGAAGAGTACATGTAATTAAAAGTTAGTGAATTTAACTAGAATAGATAAGGTTGGGGAATACAAAGTGACCTTCTCCAGTGCCACAGAGCATAAAGTGATAATAGTTTAGTTGTTATTTGCAATACAGAAGCTCACTGCTTTTGCACATGGGAGGTGTAAGAAATACCAAACAGATCAAAATGACATTTCTAATTCTATCGGGTTCTGTAATCTATTGGATTCTATAAGCGATCACTCTAGCTGGGCGTGCATGTGACTGTCAGTGGAATGCCTGGATTTGCAATCTATTTATGCATTATGAGGACTGGGTGGATACATAATTTCCTGTACATTCAGCTCTACTGGTAACTAGTTCAAGCACACTCTGTGCATGTTTAGGATCTTGAATGCAATTTTGGACATACTTTGCTAACAACTACATCTATTTAGGTATGGCTCAAGTTTAAACTTAGCTGACTCTCCCTCCCATAATTTTCCTTTTTGAAATTGTTGACAGTTGACTGATGCACCTTCTGAGTGCTGTAGTGAGTGTGTGCTTGTGTGTTGAGTGTGTGCGTGAGAGAACATGTACAAGTGTATGTATAAGCATGTGCTCTGCTTTCCTAGAATGTCAAGGAGATTTTTTTTAAATTTTGGATTTAAAACAATTGCTCTCAGACTGAGGTCTTGTATGCCAAACTTTAATCTGCTTTTATGTTTTCAGGTGAAAATCCTAAGAGGATTTCATGTTGAATATGTGTACAACTTAACTATATTGGTGGTAAACATACTACTATAACTTTATTATTCTGTCTTCCAGATAATGTTATTCATTTAGGAAAATAAGGTATATTTTTAGAATTGACTTTGTAAGCACTATAAAATCTTTAATAAGTTATAAGGCCTATGATGTATTTACTTTAAAAATTGCTGTTAAAAGCAGGGTGTATTAAATATATAATATCATCTTGACTGAGTCTCTTTTCCTTCCTCATGATAAGCTTTAGAATATAGTACTTAAAAAACTAATATGTGTGGCTGCATTTGCTAAGAAGTCATGAAAGAAGACTAAGTATAGTATTAGGGAGATCAAATAATTGTCATTGGAATTCTTAAATTATTTTCAGATTATCTAGAAAACAAGAAAAGAATTCTGGCAAAAATAAAATGCTTTCAATATTTTGATAAATATATAAATGTATAAAATCTATTTTTTTGCAATCAACATTGCTATATTGACAATTCTTTGCCTTATTACTTAAAATTACAGGAATTTGGGCAGCTGAAAATGGAACTAAATTCTACAAAAACAAAAACAATTAAAATGGGCTACTCAGATCATGCTAATACTTTTGTTGTGAAATTTGTTTGTTTGCACTGAGCCATTTTATCTTAAGACCATGGGAATTCTCAGTGTTGCATACATTTCACATACTTTGTATTTTCTATGTAAAATCTAGAGTTGGTCAATATCACTAAGTATATCCGTACTGATTTTGGTTCACTTTCTATATTAATGTATGTTCTGTTGTGTAAGGCAGTTCTTCTTGCAGTGGTCTGAAGAGTAGACTCTAAGCTCTGTGTGTCTGAAAAAGTTTTTCATTCTTGAAGAACAATTTAGTAGAACACAGAATTCTGGGTTCACCATTTTCCTTGTCCTCCTTCAACACTATGAAGGCTTTTTAACTGTCTTCTGTCATCTCATCTTGCAGATAACAAGTCTGCTATTAGTATAATTTTCCTTCCTTTGTAGGAGATCTGTCTTTTTTTATTCTAGATATTTTATATGATTTTTATCCTCAAAGTTTTTCAGCTTCACTCTGCTTTGTTTAGTTGTACATTTGTTTTTATTTTCATTGTTAGAAATTTCTTAAATGTGGCACCATATTGGAATCACATGGAGACCTGTAAAACAGTGTGATGTCTGGGTCCCACCTTCAGAAACTTTGGAATAATTGGTCTGCGGTATGCCCCAAGCATTACTCATTTGTATAGTTATGTGTAAAGTAAGGGGATGGGTCTAGGTGAAAGGGACAAGATGAGTAGTGATGTTGGAATTATGAGCTAGAGACACTAAGATAGGAACTTCAGTGTAAAGGTTAAGAAAGAAGGCTTAAGTGAATGCTAGTTCCTTAAACCAAAAGAGGAATGCAGAGAAGTGGGTGAGTGGCTAAAGTCAATGAGCTTCATTGATGCATTAAGGTTGAGATACAGAGAGGACATCTGGAGAAAATGTAAACGTTAGCATATTTGATTCTGAGTGACTAGGTGTAAGTAAGGATGTTGTCAACATACAGCACTAATAAAGAATCTGTGGGAGTGGATTTGATCACCAAGGGAACATGGGAAAGAAGAGGTCGAAGGATGGCGAGGAAAGTAAAGGAGTATGGCAGGAATAGGAGGAAAATCAGAAGAGAATGCTACTGACAAAGCTGAGGCCATAGAATGTTTCAGGCAAAGGGCAGTTCAATCTATGAAGTGCAGTTGGAAGGGCAAATTAATCTTAGAAATGAAGGAGAGTGTCATATTTCATTGTTCTATGTTCTTTTTCTACTGTGTTTTGTCTTCATTTTGAAAGATTTTCTCTGTATACTAATAGCTCTCAAAATATAATTTTTTTTGGAAGGATTGGGGTTTGAACTCAGAGCTTTGCACTTGAACTACTCCTCCAGCCCATTTTTGCTGTGGTAATTTTGGAGTTGAGGTCTCTGGAACTATTTGCCTGGGCTGGCCTTGAATTGCTGTCATCCTGATCTCAGCCTCCCTAGTAGGTAGGATTGCAGGTGTGAGCCATTGATGCCCAGGGAGTGAGGAGAGTAGGGAACAGTGAGAGAACTGCCAGAATGGTGGAGTTTTAGATGGCATCTATGAAGAACAGACAGGATGAAGAATTGTCAGCCAGTGTTGGAGCCATCATGGACCCAGTTGAGAGGAGAAGACAGGTATTTTCAGTAGAACCAATGAAGCGGTTATGCTCTGTCTGGGTGCACTCTACAGTTCAGGAGTATAGACCAGTCACAGGTGAGTAGCTGATTCTAGTCGGGGATTCACAGGTTGCCTGGCACAAGATTCTGTGAACAATAAATGGAGGCTTCTAAGGAGAGATCAGGTGGGGTGTCTTGGGACCAAAGCAAATTGGGGAAGGAGCTGGGTCAATGTGCTCCTCTGAGCATGAGGAGTAGGGGAGTCAAAAGGACTGGGAATCTGAAGGGAGAGCTCTGCTGTGTGGGGAGGAGGTGCGTGTGCATTGCAGGTGGAGAGAAATGCATGGAACCCTTACAGGTCTTGGTGATCTAAACATCTGTTTTCCTGGTTCGCTGGAGTAGGTGAAGAGGAACAGGAATGGGGTAGACGTGTAATGCTGGGTTGGCCAGATGCCCACACTCACGTTGACATCACCTAGAATGATCTCAGAGTTCAGATGGAAAGGAAGGGAGTCAAGTGTACTCCTCTGCCATTGAATGAAATAATTATCCATTTGCTTGCTTTGATATATGGAATTTTTAAAGGTATCATCATTCTGGATATTCTGAAGTTTCACTACACAATAGGTTGAGAAGTAGATAGTTAATACTGTACAGAGAATTTTTCTCCTATTTGGAGAGCGGGGATGTGGAGGCGGGTTTAAACTCAGGGCCCTGTGCTTGCTAGGCAGGTGCTCTACCACTTGAGTCACACCCCTAACCCTTTTTTGCTTTAGGTATTTTTTCAGATAGGGTCTTAATGTTTTTGCCTAGGGTTGGCCTCAGACTATGATCCTCCTACCTCTGCCTCCCAAGTAGCTAGCATTACAGGTGTGATCTAACACACCAGGCTTATTTATGGAGGTGGTATCTGGCTGACCTTTTGCCTGGGATGGCCTCAAATCTTAATCCTCTTAATCTCCATCTCCTGAGTAGCTGTGATTACAGGCCACCACACCCAGCCCCTCAGAGACATTTTTTTAATTGTGGGAAATTTTCTTCTGTCTTTATACCTAGTATTTCCTTGTTCACCATCTCTATTCTAAATGTCCTTCATTCAAGAAATCATTGACCTTTTATTTCTGTTTTCTGAACGTGTCTTAGCTGTTCTCTGTCATGCTATATTCTAGAATGACTTAACTGGATCCTCCAACTCACTGAGTTGCTCTTCAGCTGTGTCTATTCAGTATTCAGCACAACTGTTACATTTTTAATTTCAGTCATCACAATTTTAATTTCCAGGATCTCTATTTTTTATGGAAGTATAATTGCCATTTTTGTTTTTTCTATGAATATTAATTATCCTTCTAAAGTTTTAAACCTTTCTAAAGAGACATTGTAGGGAAGGGCAGAATAAGCCTGCTGCCAGCCAACCTGTGATCTGAGTGCTCCCTGCCACGCCTTGGGCTCATTGCCATACTTCTTGGGATTGAGTGCGAGAAGTCACCACTCACACAGGGGAAGATACGGAGCCATCTGCCCAGGTTGAGATTGGCAAGGGGAAGGCATTTTCTGGTCTGGGCATCAGCTACCTCTGAGCTTAGAATGTCTCTGGTTTCATCTTTAGCAAATTCTTTCCTTGAATGTCTCAAGTTATGGTTTACATCTGCCTGCTCTCAATTGTTTTCTTTTCAGGGAATCCTTGTAGTTTCTAGTACATGAAAGATACTTATTACTTTGCATTATAATTGTAAATACCTTTCCATTTTAAAAGTCATTTGTTGTTGCTGTCATTATTTCTGTGAATTTGGGATAGGAGAAAGAACTACACCTTGCCTAGTTTGCTACCCTGATTCAGTCTTCCACTTCATTTTATTTTATTTTATTACTGTGCTGGGGATTGAACCCCAGGTCTCACACATCCTAGGCAAGAGCTCTACCACTGAGCTACACCCTAGTCCCTTTCACCACTTTTTTTTAATATCACAAAATCATCTAATCGCCCTAATTATTTACCTTTACATTTTCAAAATCTCCATTTGGTGAAGAGCTGTGGAACATAGGTTAAGTCCATGGTTTCTTACTGGGTCTGAAGAAAAATTCAGACCCAGCAAGTGAAGTATCCCAGCATCTCCTCCTGTGTGCCTCCTTCCTTTTTATCACTGATGAGCTCAGGGAAACCTGTCATCTTTCTTTGTGATTTACAAGATAGACTCTTCCAGGATATGTCAACTGTTCCTAGACAATGTTGTTAGGTATCAGCTTTGGCAGATCAGATAGATAAATGTGCCTTGGAAAGATTGGGCTATTGATGAGCCTTGTGTCAAAACTGATTGCCATATATGGGTGATTTTTCCCTTTCACTGTTTCCCTGGTTTCAATTTCCATCAGGATTTTCATGAACAAAGGACAGTTTTGACTCCAAATAAAATTGTGCTCTAGCAACTGTGTCCTTTTCTGCTTTCATTATCAGGTTTGTAACTGCCATTCTGTGGCTTTCCCAAAGTGGGCTTTAAAAGTGATGAGCACTTGGAAAATATATTGTCATTTGAAAATTATTCTTTTGACTATTGTTCTGAACATAGTAAATTCACTCACTCCTACTGTGCTTCCATGAGATTGTTTCATTTACAAGACTCAGCTCTCTTTTGGAAAAAAATTTTTTTTCTTGACAGCACTGAGATCTGAACTCAGAGCCTTGTGCTTGCTAGGCTGGCACTCTATCACTTGGACTATACTGCCAGCCCTTTTTGCTCTGGTTATTTTGGATATAGAGTCTTACTTTTTGCCCAATCAAGCCTGGACTGCGATCCTCCTATTTTATGTTTCCCATAGTGACTGGAATGACAGGCACATGCCTCCACTCCCAGCATTTTTCTGTTGAGATGGGGTTCTCATGAACTTTTTTGCCCAGACTATATTGGAACTAGGATACTCCCAATCTCAACTTCCCAAGTAGCTAGGATTATAGATGTGGCCACCAACGCCTGGCTTAGAAACACTGTTTGAGGAAACTTATGCAGAATGTGATCATGGGTCAATTTATTGTGATGAGCAATTGACTAGACAAAAGAAAGAACCCAAGTGCTGAATCTGTTTTAGAAGTTTCTAAAATGCATTCCTTGGGAGTTTCT